ATAGTCCCACAGACCCCTTTAAGAGAACATTCCTAGTGACCTAAGGACCACCCATAAGGCCCCACCTCCTAAAGCATTTACCATCTCCCAGAAGCACCACTCTGCAAATCAAATCTTTAACTCATGGGCCTTTAGGGACTGTTCAAGATCCAAACTGTAACAGACTCCAAAGGCAATATAGAGGTAGAAATCCCTCTTCCTCAAGGAATATCTTTGGTTTGTTTTCTCTTAAGGTCTTCGTATCATTGGATGAAGTCCACCCACATTATGGAGGGTGATCTAATTTACTAAAAATCTCTTGATTAAAGTGATGATCTTAGAAGAAGATCTCAGCAAAATTCAGATTGGTGTTTGATCCAATATCTGCTTACCATGATCTCACCAAGTTGATATAGACGATTAGCTGTCAAGCCGTATTTTGAGTTACCATTAATAGATTCAGTTATTGTCCTGAAACAAGAGGGAAAGCTGAGAATCTGGGTTGACCCCAGGGTTTTTGGGTTATGAATCTGGGTGGCTAGTGGTGCTGTTAAGAAAAGGTATATTGGATTTTTGTTCATTAAATACCACCATAATTAAAATAGAATTAAGTTGAAGCTGCAGATGAATATTAGGCACCCAACAGCTCAGAAGACTGAGGCAGGAGAATTGCAAGTTCAAAGCAATTTCTCAGCAATATAGTGAGGCCCTAAACAATTTAGCTGACCTTGTCTCAAAATTAAAAGAAAAAGGGCTGGGGAGGTGGCTCAATGATAAAGCACCACTGAGTTCAATCCCTGGTACCAAAATAAAATAAAATAAAAGTCAAATAAGTGTAAATCATCTGAAAGAGAAACACTAGTCATGCATTGACTTTTATGCACCTAATCTTATGTGGCTGTTTACCAAATGGATTGCTGACCAAATTCGGCCAGTTAATTAGTGTTTGCAACAACATAATAAAAAAATGGCTGAAATATGAAATGGAAGATACATTTATTTTTAACCATGAGATATTACTGA